TTAGCTTCTTCCTCTTGGCGAGCATTGTAATGTAAACCATTTCGAAAATGTTGACAAGTATCACACAAGTCAGTCCTGGGACTCATAATTTGAATCTCTGGTGTTAATTGATGCCATAACTTTCTGAATGCATCATATTTTAAGGACTTCAAATTACTATCTTCTTCTAAACCAGTTAGAAAGTCTCTGTAGACTGATTTATAACTCATTTCAGCTGGTAAAAAGATAACTGACTGAGTTATTCTATTGATACTTCTGCCTGGACTTGGCAATCCATGGACTTCTGCATAATTTTCCAGAAAATTCTTTACAATTGCGGCAATGTCTTTGTCAATCATCATCTTAGTTTTCCATTGAGGCAACCTTTTAATATTGCCATGAATTCTTGGTAGAAGACCATTGTTTATCAGATGATTTCTGATATTTTCAAAGTAAGTTCTACCAATTCCTAGCATATTGAGATAAGTTTCTTGACAAAGGAGTGTATTGTGATCCCAGTGATAGAAAGTTCTTTTATTAGATCTATTTTTCTTTTTAAGGCATCTGCTGGTGCTTATTGATCCACCATCCATTGCTTTAATCTGAGCCATTAAAAATATATCTTGTTCTGGTTTAGAAAGAGCTTGAAAAGATTCTCTTAATTCAGCAAATTGTTCCTTAGGAATTCTTGACGAACAGCTACAACCACAACCACAACCTTTTTCTAAAAAATCAATTGCTTTTTGATATTCATTAGAACCATTATATTTATTATTACTTTTCATATACACCTATCCCTATATATATAATTTTATGTTCACTTTGTATGTTTTTCTAGGATTGTTTAATAATTTAGCATTAAAAATGGATGAAAAATCTGTCCAGTTTATCATGAAATGCTTGTCAACCTTGACTAAAGAAATACAAATAAGGAAATTGTTTGCATAAAAAACTACGAACATTTCTTATATATATGTATAATAATAAAAAATAATATTAGCTTTAGTTTTACTTTTCATTTTTGAATGAATTTAAAAAAGGAAAAGAAATGAGAACATCATAATATGTACATATGTACATGCTGTGATCCATTTATTATGTGTCAAAAAATTAACGGGATTTGAATTTGACGTTAATTCGCTAATTGAAAACACTAATCTTTTTTTTATTTATTATTATTAATATCTGTATTTGTGTTACATTCCGTATATATTTATTTTGATATTTCGCATTATTTATTTGGAAGGAATTAATGGCAATAATCCCAAATGGGATAATTCATTCAGACTGGGATATTAATTAATTAAACATATATATAAGGAACAAGAATTCACTGTACTTTAAAAGTGACTTTGTAATAAGTTAACTTAATAGTGTGTTTTCGTGTAATTGATAGTGTATCATTTTTGATTTAATAAAATCTATTTGAATCTACCAAAGCAAATAGACAAAGATAAATTTATTATTTATTATTATCTATCAAAAAAAGAAATAAAGAAACTTTAAAGTATATAAACATGATTGATTTTGAGATTGACATCAAAAAAATTTGCAACATTAAAAATCATTAAACTTTATACATTTAATAATATTATTTTCTTTAAAAACAATGCTGTTTAAATTGACCACTACTTGTGTGATTGATCACTAAGAAACAAACAATTTCAGAATTATTGAAATTAACGCCATTACAAAGGTGAAATAAAATAATAATCTTTTAAATATAATTAATTATATAGATAAAAAATAAACATGACTTAGCTTATTTAATCCTTTCTTCATATGTGAATTCCTTGTCCTCGCATCCATCACAATGATTATTCAACACATTTGATATCATCATTGACATAACAAACAATTGCATCACCCACGTAGTAATAATACCAAGGCCATGCATGAATGAAACTTTTAATAATGTGTGTCTACCAGATCTCTGGGGTTCACAAAATAAATTATTTTTTCCTGGTTATCAATTATGGTTCCTTATGAATAATAAATCTGATGTTGATTGCAGGTGTCAGATTTAATAAAAATTTCCTAACACAAACATGCAGTCAAGTGCTCTTAACACGCTTCAGCACTATGGAATTTTCCCCACAGTTGAAGCACCCCACATGTTGGAAAACTTTTTAAGGTGGGCAAAAACTTCCCTCATCTTTCCCTCAACCAAGACTTGGCCATTTCCACGTGAGCATGGACCACTAGTCAGAGTTAATACTCGAGCAACATTTGCTTCGTGTTACCTTCCCACCTAGAGGTGTCCAGCTAACATGCTTGTCCACGTAATATCAACTCAAGTGCTGTGAGGAAGGATCAGGTAGGATATGCAGAAGTGCCCTTGACAATGATCTCAATAAATTCCAGGGCCATGTTGCTCCCTCCTGGAATTCAGTCGCATCATCATACCATCGGAAGAATCTTGGTCAGGTTAGTCTTGTTAACGTGAGGAACATGTGAGAATAACTATAAAGTGTTCAAGGTAGTGTGCATGCCTCAACACCTGCAAATCCAATAATCAAACATTACATATCCTATCTTTTAACAGTTCTTGACATCTTATAATTTTTATTTAATATTAATATTAATAAAAGTCACAAAAAGAAAAACGATGTCTCATTTATTTGTTATAATTACCTAATATATGACAAGTTCTGCTCCACATGTTGATTTCAGTGAGATATTTTATATTAAAAAAAAGTGTATCGATACCAAAAAAAAATGCGTGTCGCCTCTCGTCATTAATGAACAACATGTTCTCTTTGGGAAAGCCATACGTTTCTTCGTCTTGAACTCTGTAAAAATATAATCATTTTCTTTATTAAAAAAAAAAAAAAACAATTTGTACGACACGTGCGTCGCGTAAATAATAAATTAGCATATGCTGATTAAGTAACAAATAATCTTTTTTACTTTAAATTTTTAAGATGTCGGATAGAACCCGAACCAGAAAAAGATGTCAAAATGAAGTCGCTAGTTTCGCTGGGTAAGTGTTATTTTTATTAACGTTAAGTTATTGACGCGTGTTGAGTAAATTTCTCTCACATGATCTCCCATCTATACTTTAAAAAAATTTCTAAGCAAAATTGGATCAAGGTAAATATTATTAGAGTGGTTGTGATCATTATCATCATTATAGTTTAACTAATCATTATAACCGTTATTGCTTTTTTAATTCATTTCAATTTAGCAATAAAATTGTAAGTCACTATAAATGTCCAAATTTCGATCTTTATCTTTAAAATTCAGAGTTTATATATATATATATATATTTGTGCAGAATAATTTTATAACTAAACTAGACAATACGTCAAACGAATTAAAAAATACAAATGAAACATCGTTAAACCATATATTTAATCAGCATGAAGAATTAATCAATTCAATTGACGGTAATTTAAACCAAGTAATGGATCTTATCAGGGTAAGCATTAAACCAATGTTACTTTTTTATATTTTTCACTTACAAAAATTTAATTTTTATGTTCCCTCCCTCCTTTACAGAATAATAACGATGTTAATAATGAGAACAGCAATGATGATATCGTAAGCTTTAAAAAATTTCTTTCAAAATTTGATTCAAATATCTCATCTAGTATCAATGTTACAGAACTCAATGGATGAAAGGACTGCTGATACAAATAATAATAATATTAATGATATTAATGATGGCTGCCATGATAGATGTGAGTATTGGTTTTTTAATAATGAGAAACTAAATACAGATGATACATATATATGTGCACATATGTATCTGAAAAAGCAATTATTTATAATATATTGGTAATAATTATAATATAAGCTGGAAATTCCACAAGGTTACGTAGAAATAAACCTGGTACTGTGGCTTTACAGGAAATTAGGAAATATCAAAGGAATACAAATCTTTTATTAAAAAAATTACCATTTTCTCGGGTTGTGAGTAAAAGTGCTCCTATTTTTAATATATTGATTATTGTTTTTCCATAAATTAATTGTAAATTTTTTTTTATGTATATTCATACATACATTTTGTATAGGTTCGAGAAATTGCAATGGAGCTTTTCCCCTGTGATTCCCAAGTTGGCTTCAAATGGCAATCATCAGCTATATTGGCACTTCAAGAAGGTAATTTTATATAAATAGGCATATGGCATATATATAAAATATTTAGTTATATTGTCAATTGAACTCATTAACCTCAATATATGTGTATGAATGTAATTGTTTTATTGATTTTTTATAGCTACTGAAGCATATATGGTCTATGTCTTTGAAGATGCGTATGTATGCCATTTTCTAAAAGAATGCAATAAACTTTTTTTGTTATTAATTTATTATTTATTTTCTCTAGGAATTCATGCGCGTTGCATGCTAAAAGAGTTACATTAATGAAAAAGGATATGGAGTTGGCTAATAGACTTCGTGGTAAAAACCACTTTTATCCATAGTGAGTATGTGATACAATTATCATTATTGTTTTATTTCTGTTTAATATTATTAGCATCATTAATCTTTAAATATTATTATAATTTATAGGATCTTGTTATCGCTATTACTACCATCAAGATCGTAATGGCATTTCATTTAAAAGATATTATCATCATTAGAAATATCGAGTATAAAATACTAATATAAACATATAAACATTAATATTTTATATAAATACATAATAAAATAGTTTTTCCTATATATAACAGATACATTTCAAAATATTGAAAATCAAAAAACAATCTTAATAGATTATATGAGCATTATTATCACTACTAGTATAACAGTTGTAAAAATTGTAAAAATTATAATTTATATATTAAAATTGAAGATGAATTTATTGCATCAAAAATTGTTGAATAAGTTAAATTGAAACGAATACAAGTAGATGAAGATAATAAAAAAAAGGAAAATTGAAAATATTTTTTATCATCCCGAATAATATTATTAATATTAAATAATTACAATATATATAATCGTCTGATGTATATAATTCTACAATCCTAATAAAACCACAATATGTAAGAAATTATTAGGATAGCAAAGATTGAGAAGCTCATACTATTGGAATATCTAATTGTGGGATTATACCATGAATAATAGGTGCAGCAAAAGAACTCTCATTTGATATAGGTGGTGGTGAAGATGATGGAAAAAAGTCTGGAAGAATTTGGTGTAATACATTTCCAAGTGTAAGTTGATTACCTAGATATTTATGTATGTGCGAATTGAAGTTATTTTTGATTATTAATAATGTGAATTGAGTAAAAAAAATTTATTAATATACCATTTTCGCTTAAAGGAGAGATTGATTCTTGTATTACTGGGCAATCATCAGGTAAATATATTCAAAGTGGAATATGTCTTGGAACTTGGCCATCATTAATTACTAAACGATAATTCATGCTCCAAAATTTATCATAATCCTCTTTTTACATTAATAAAAGTGATGATGGTGGTGTCATAGTAGTTAAAGATAATAAAAAAATACAATATAGATATACTGTTTTGTATTTTATAAAAATAAATAAAAAGGATACTAGATCATAATCCATCCCAAAGTTGGGTTTGATCGTTTTTTGATAAGTTCATACTTTCTTTGTTGTGTCATTTCTAAGAAAATCTGCCTAGTAACAACAACATTATCATTATTTAATATTATTTTCTAATTATCAATTAATAATTAATTAATTAATTAAATTTAAAATACTCTACTTTAATAATAGACATGAAAAAATCTTGAGTAGCATCAATAGCCTGAGCTCTTATTAGTTTATCATCAGGAAAGTCTTTAAAATGAACAGTTACAGATCAAGGTAATGGCGGAGGACTATTTGAATCTGGTCTATATCCTGTATGTAAATCGAATAGTAGTCCGATTGGATAATGCCTTTTTATTAATTATCATCATTATATTGTTTTATGGTAGAAGTAGAGAGTGACAATATATATATATATATTTACCATTTCAAAGGTGTTCCATCAACATCATACCATATTTCTGCATCGTCAACAATAAAATTCATCGCCATATCACAAAAGTATTTTCTTATTGCACTTGTTAATAATGGGAAGTATGAACAACGAGGTGCTTCTATCTATCACAATTAAACGATGAGAGTGAGTGAGTGATGAGAATGCTAAACCTGAAAGTTTGAAAAACTTACAAAATAAGGTTCAATTGTTTTTACACCTAATGCTTCAGCCTTGTTATTATCTAGAGAAAATTTAATTAGCAAAGCACCATCCCAGATGGCTCTAGCGATTGGATTTTGAGGTGCTATCATTTTTCTTAATCAGATAAAAGAAAGTTGCACAAATTTTTAACATTAAATATTGATATATTTTTATATAGAGGTAATTCTATATACCACTTAATATTAAGAAGATAACAAATGGAAGATTTTAATAATCACATTACTAAATTTTGACCCCTGAAATATTTGGTAATACCAATTACAATGTTCACTTTGTTGCAGCATGCCCCATATATATATTATTTATTAAAATTAAAATTAAAAATTTTTTTTTTAGAAAATTAATACTTTTATTTTAAATATAGATGACTATCATGACATACACCAATCAAGAATGCCAAACACTACTTCAACTTCACAAGTTGCACATATGATGACTATGACAATAAATACTCCAAATATCCCTTCAATTTATTACTTATCTCCATCTGGATTCAAAGTACATAATCCAAATCTTGTAGACTCTAATAGTTTAATATATTATTTATATAATACATATATGAACAAATTTAGTGTTAGTTATATAAATAGAAAATCATTTTGGTCAGTTCCAGAAATGACTCTCTTACCTGAAAAAGAATTAATAAACACATTATCAATTCACTCATACAATACCAACTGGATTCAAGAAGATATGTATAATATACGTACAATGGATTGTGTTAAGTTGATTGAATTTCAAGAGTTGAATCTTAAATCACTGGATGATTATTTAAAAGCAGCAAATTTTTTATTTCAATTTTCTGAAATTCAAGATTATATTCAAACAAATATAATCCCAATATCAGCTGACTGGCCTGGCCAGTTATATATTCGTAGTGCAATTACTCAAAAAATTTTAAAGTTAAATAATAATATTCCTGATCAAATAACTAAGTTAGTTCCTTTAATTGGTCTTCTACACATCTCACTAAACACACGTGAAACAACATATAAAATTTTTTATCCTTTTTTTAATAAGCTCTATTTGTATGTTTTTAAGGCTAAAAAAGATCTTGGAGAAAGAATATTTCCATGGAAAATTAATTTACTTCTATATCTAAGTTATGGTGGTTGGAAGTTAGTTAGGCAAGAAATCTTAAAAAAATTTAAACTATGTAAAGATATTGAATATGCAACTAGTATTGACTTGTTAGATAATATCATTCCCTCTGTGTTGGATATTTATGGAGTTTTATTTCGAGGAGGATTTTTCGATGAATATATTGAAACTTTATTTTGTGTATGGACTTTTATGGCAAGATTTAAAAGAAAAAATTATGATAAGGCTATTTTGGCTTTTCTAAGTGATATTTTTTACTGGAATCAAATTAATCATCCAATTTACAATTTTATTAGGCAATACTTATCACTATTTCATGATAGTTATGTAGAAAACTTTCACTCTTTATTATGTAGATACACATCTGATAAAGGTTTTGATCCAAAAAGATTAAGGCGTGATGCTTTAGTTATAGATACTGAAAAACATAAATAATAATTTTTTAAATGCATTTGTTGAAAAAAAAAAATATCCTTATTCAAAAAAAAATATAGATTGTATGCTAGAAAGATCAGCTATATTTTTATTACAATACTTTGAATCAGTTTGGAATAATTTAGGTAAAACACAAAAACTTACAAAAAGAAAAGCAAATGAAAAACAATATTATGATCTTCCAACAATGGGTAAATTATGGGAAGTTGCTTTACCAACAGCTTTTCTTTCATCACACATTCCTAATACTCAAAAATTTTGTGATGCCAGCTTTTGTAAGATTTTAGATCAAAATATTCCAAGCTATTTTTTAACTTGTGGTCATTCATTTCATATTATTTGTTTTAACAGGCAAAATAATTTATGTGTTTATTGTTACCAATATTTTTCAGAAAAGATTAATCAATTAGTTCCTTCTTTTATTGAAAGATTGAAAAAATCTGGACAAGATAACAATAAAAAAAAGAAAAAAAAGAAAGACAATGATAATGATAGTAGTAGTTCTGAAGATGAAAAAAATATTAATGATAATGATGAATTTATAATTTTTCAAAATGATGATTCTGCAAATAAACAATTAACTGAAGCATTAAATAAGTAAGTACCAACAAAAAATTATTTTAACTTTAAAAATTTATAATTTAAATTAATAAAAAAATATTTATCTAAATTATCCAATAGGTTTCATAAAAATTGTAATCAATAATAATATTAAAAATTAATATTAAAAAATAAAATTAAAAATTAATATAATATTAAAAAATAAAATTTTTTTTTGATCTTCAAATGTTACACAAAAAATGGGAATTTCCACCATGCTTACATTTCAATTTTGGGTAGAAATGGCCCTCAAAATCGAATATCATTTCTTAATTAGGATAAATTTTGTGATGATCTTGTAAATTATTTCCAAAATGGTAATAAAGTGGGTATTTTTTCAAATGTACCATCTCCTAAGATTGTTCGGGGTCCTTATAAATGATTAACTTCATATTTTTATATGGAAGTAGTTCAAGATAACAAATGGGATATTATAAAGCTGTTAATTATGATCACTAAATTTTGATCCCTGAAATTCTTGGTAATACCAATGTTCATTTTGTCCCAAATTATAAAATCGAGATTGGGATTATCAATTACTACATTTGGGTTTTTAAAAAAAAATTCAACACATGGACGATAATAATATTTTGGTTAATTTTTCGTTTGACGATTCATCAATTGGTAGAGAAAGTAGTATCACATCGAGATTAAAACAAGTTGGAGGAGGTTGGAAGGAGCGAAAAAAACTTCGGAAAATCATTAAAAGAGATTTAGAACAAAATATCCCAGGAACAATTAAACCCGAATTTAATACTACTATCACCCAAAAAAGTATTTCTTCTTCTTCTTCTAATAATAATAATAACAATAATAACAATAATAATAATAACAATAATAATAATAACAATAATAGTAAAAGTCAAAAAAGTATATCCTCAAATCAGAAAACACAAATTATATCATCAATTTTCACATTTAATCCTCAAATCCCAGATAGATCAGAAAATACAGTTTCAAAAAAGGAAATCAACAATAATCATAATAATCCCAGTAATGCACCTGTTAATGATTTTTCAAGTTTTATTGGAATGGGCTTGAACCCAGATTTGGTATTAAATATGAAAAATAAATTAGGTGTTGAAAAGCCAACGACCATTCAAAGTAAAGCTATTCCAATAATATTATCTTCCGTCATTAATAAAAACAATCAAGATAATAAACAAAATAAACAAGTAGATGTGATAATACAAGCTGAAACTGGATCTGGTAAAACTCTAACATATTTACTTCCGATAATTCATCGAATGATTAATGCTACAATCGAGATAAACAATAATAACTCAAATAAAAATATTGATGGCAATATGAGACTATCACGTTTCCTCGGAACATTTGCTATTATTTTGGCACCAACGCGTGAATTGGCAAATCAAATTTTATCTGTTCTAAATTCTTTAACCAGTCTACCTAATTCAAAATTTAGCAATTGTCACATCAATCATTGGATAGTTCCAGGTTTAATAATAGGTGGTGAAAAGAAAAAAGCCGAAAAAGCAAGACTTCGTAAAGGTGTAAACATTTTGGTTTGTACGCCTGGTAGATTATTAGATCATTTACAAAACACAAGATCTTTCGTGGTTGAAGGTTTACGTTGGTTGATACTTGATGAGGCCGATCGTCTTTTGGAATTAGGTTTTGAGGAAACGCTTAAAGAAATTTTAAAACTTTTAGAAGAACGAATTAATAATAATGACTCCAATAATACAGGAAAATCAAACTCACGCGATAATTTACTATCTTCATCATTTTTGCCTCAAAAAAGGCAAACAATTTTATGTTCTGCAACACTTAGGGATGATGTACGTCGCCTAGTGGACCATAGTTTGGTTGATCCAATTTTTATTGGTGGTGGTGGCTTTGATAATAATGATGATGATGATGATGATGATGATGAGCATTCTAATTCTCACCATCACGACAGCGATGACAAAGATTCCAAGGAAAACTCCAATGAAGAATCATCAATAAAATACTCGAATCCAATTCAACTTAAACATAAATATGCAATAACACCAGCAAAACTACGATTGGTTACTTTGACAGCAATTTTAAAATCTATTTTTGAAAATGAAAAGGATGCAAAATTCAAGAAGAATAGTAAGGTGGTAGTGTTTATGACTTGTTGTGACTCTGTTGATTTTCACTTTGATTTATTTAATAATTCTAAGGAAATGGATGAAAACTATCATGGTTATGTTGATGACGACGATGATGGTTCTATTGGTAGTTCAAATACATTTATTTTGAATACGACACTTTTCCAATTACACGGTAATCTTTCACAAGAAATTCGCATCAAAACATTTAATAAATTTTGTCAAGCAAAGTCGGGTATATTATTTTGTACGGATGTTGCAGCAAGAGGTCTTGATCTTCCTGATGTTACAAATATTATACAATATGATGCACCAACAGATTTAAAGAGTTATGTTCATCGTGCGGGGAGAACTGCTAGACTTGGTAAAGATGGCGAAGCAATAATATTCCTATTACCCAGCGAGATTGAATATATCGATGTACTAAAAGCACAAGGAGTAATAGCCGAGCAAATTAAAATAGAAAATATATTAGAAACTCTTGCATCATTTGATGATAAAAAAAAAGAATATGAATTTAAAGCACAAGAAATTCAATTACAATTTGAAAGATATGTTCTTTCTAATGAAAAAGTAAGCTTTATTATTGTTTTTATTGTTTTTATTATAACTTTTTTAATAAATTTTATTGTAAATAGTCTATAGAATTGGCCCAACGAGCCTTTATATCGCATGTGCGAGCGTATGCCACGCATCCATCTTCTGAAAAACACATATTTCATCCAAGAAATTTGCATCTTGGTCATATTGCCAAAAGTTTTGCGCTTAGAGAAGCTCCATCAAATATTAAATTGAAAAATGTATACCTTGAGCGGGATAGGGATAGGGATAGGGGTAACATTGTAGAAGATAGACGCGATACAAGAAATAATCAAAAGAAAAGAAGATATGACAGTGATGATAATAGTAGTAAATTAAAGGGAAACATCTTTTACAATATAAAAAAAATCAAACTTGGAGCTATAAATGAATTTTCAACTGGTGATTATGATGACATGATAGGTCCTACAACTAGAAGAAAGAAAAAGAATACTGTTGTTAAGAAAAATAAAAACTAAAGTTCCAAAAAAACATTATGAACTTTATGAGACAATGGTGATTACGTAAGTAAATATAGATATATATATAGATATATATTTTTATTTTTTACACATCCCCGAATAAATTATTATTTTAATGTAAAAAAAAAATATTAAATAAAAAATAATTAATTAATAAATAAATATTTGTAAGGATATAATATATGTGTGTATTTTTTTGACATGAAAAAAAAACATTGAGATAATGGAATGAGTTAGGAAAATGCCGACATTTTAAATTATTAATTGATTAAAATACAATGGTGTATAAAGATTTTTTAAATGTGATATTTTAAACGAGTTGTAACTAAAACCATAATAGCAATAATAATAACAATTAGTAATTAATAAAAATTTTAAAGTTTTTAATTCCAAAAAAAAATTTTCGACTTACGTAATTACTTGGTGCAATACCAATAGATCCATCAGCTTTTCTTGCTTGCCACCATTTACCTTTATTATCTACGATATCAAGAATTTCACCTTTGGAAAATGAAAGTTCATTTTGATCATCTGGATTGGCTTGATCTGATAATAATATAGTAACAATAAATTTAATATCTTAATAATAATAATAATAATAATAATAAAAAGATGACTAGTAAATCACACACATTCGTATAATGCTTGGGCTTTGTATGCATATTCTGCGTTGGGTGATACTACGACAGTACTTAAATTTTCTTGTTGCTGAGGTTGTGTTTGCATAGTGTTCATGGTATTCATGGTGTTCATGGTGTTCATGGTGTTCATGGTATTCATAGTATTTGGTGGTGGCATCATTGGAATTCCAGGGCCTACTCTGGGAATGCTTTGTTGTCCATTAGTTTGATATGGATTTGGTTTATTATCAATGGTAAATGAAGCCATTGTAGTTTGGACTAATGAGTCTTCAGATGCACCAAAAAGGAATATCCAAACAATCTAAAGTTTTTAATTTAAGGAAAAAATTGTAAATATATTCAACATGTGTGTGTGTGTGTGTGCGCGCGCGCATCTATTCATTATTATATTTTTATATTTTTATAATATCGATACAAGAACTTACCTCCACCATCAAAATAAAAATTCCTCCAGCGGCTGCTGCTTGATATGAGCTAAATTTAGTGAGTTCTGAGAATATTACAAAGTCATCTACAGCAACTGCCAAAAATACAAATCCAATTGCAATAAATGCTACAAGCTATATATATATTAAAAAAATTTAATTAAGGAGATAATAATAAATGATTGAATCTTTTTAATGCTGCAAAAAAAATCTTTTTTTGTGAAATTAATTAAAAGGATACGCTCGTGCGATATTGTCGAATAGAATTTGTTATAATGGTAAGAAGAACTCCGATGATAAGAAATAATTGATAAACTATGTAAAACCATCTCCCCCCTTGAACTTCCGCTGCTGCTGCACCCGAAAGTAATATAATCCAACCACACTATGATAAAAAAAGAAAATAAATTAAACTTTACTTTAAAAAAAAAAAGATTAATAATGAGAAAATTAATTTCTAAAACACATACAAATGCCAAGCCTAGAGTCGCGATGTAAATTGGGTTGCTAATAATTAAGCTAACATCAACTGTAGACATCTTTATATTTATATATTTATATAAATCTTATCAAAAAGAACAAAACCAAGGAATCAACTCGGTGTTTGATTAATTAACAAAGGTGGTGATAATGTAACTTGAAGAATTATAAGTTTTGGGAAAAGGACCGTAAATACTACTAATAATAATATTCAAAGTTATACAAAAAATCAGTTTTGATAATGTTGTTTAATCAAAGTAACCTGCAAGTATCTTAATATATATATTTTATTACCAAAAATACTCACTTTTTTAAAACGGAAAATTAACAAAGAATGAAAAAAAAAAATGAAGAAAACCAATTTGAAAAAAATTATTCCAATTTTAAATTGTATCAATTGTACAAATAAAAATGGTGTTTGAAATTTGACTGCGTCACATACATACAAATATGGTAATTTTCGAAAAAATCCGCATTTAATTACCAAATTTGGTTAGAGCAAACACCCTGAATGGGACAAATTATCAACCCAAAAAAAGTGAATGGGACTATAGTAGTAGCACAAAGATTGAACCCGTATTGTATATAAAAGGAATGAAAAAGAAATAAGGAAATTATAACAGACAATGTTTAAAAAAACCAATTGAATACTTTTTACGAATTACATTTATAGAAAAATTTGATTAATTTATAATAAATAATAATTTTATAGTTCTATATAAAATCAATCGAATAATAATAATAATTTTTTATTTTTATTTATAGAATTCAAAATCTGTATCTGCTTTCTTGACATTTGCTTTATAACCTTTCTCAATATCTTTACTAAGAATTACATATCTATTCTTACGAACTGCTTGCATGCCAGCTTCTTGGCATATGGCATGAATTTCAGCCCCACTCAATTTATCCGGTCGAGATACATCTTTAAATAGATTATTATTAGAAAATTTTGTAATCATTTAATTTTAGAGCTAATAAAACTAAATAGAATACATACAATCTTCGAGGTCAACTTCTTCCGATAAATTCATTTTTGCAGTTATTGTTGAAAAAATTAACCTTTTTTGACGTCGATCAGGCGTTGGAAATTCAATTTTTCTGTCAAGACGACCAGGCCTTAATAGTGCAGGATCCAATGTATCAGCTCTATTGGTAGCCATGATCACCTAATAATAGTGTATAATAACATAATTAAAATGATGATGGTAATAACAACGATAATGACTAATCATTTTATTTGATAATGTATGTATGTAAGTATGTATGTATGCATGTATGTATGTACCTTAACATTTGACGTCTGATCAAAACCATCCATTTGATTGAGTAACTCCAACAATATTCTTTGTACTTCACGATCAGCACCAGTTTGTGCGTCAAAACGTTTTGTTGCAATTGCATCAATTTCATCGATAAAAATGATTGCAGGAGAATTTTCACGTGCTAACCTAAAAACATCACGAACCATTCGTGGACCTTCACCCAAGTATTTTTGGACAAATTCTGATCCCACTACACGAATGAAAGAAGCTGTTGTGTGATGCGCAACTGCTTTAACAAGCATTGTTTTTCCTGTCCCTGGGGGACCATAAAGTAAAACACCTCGTGGAGGATCAATACCAATTTGTTTATACAAATCAAAATGAGTCAATGGTAGCTCTACTGCTTCTCTAATTTCTTGTTTTTGAATATCAAGACCACCGACATCTGCATAAGTCACATCAGGTTTTTCATCAGTCCCAAGCATAGCAATACTGCTATCTGCTTCTGGAGGCAACACGTCCACTAATGAATTTGAATGACGATGAAGAGCCACTGATGAAGAGGGTTTAAGTAATTCACGATCAATAGTACTTAGGATTCGAACAACATAATTTGAACCTGTAGTAGAACCTACAATTCCTGTGTGCTGATCGATTGGTTCTAAAAATTGTCCGATAACCAACGGTACTGATTGGATTCGTTTCACTTCTTCTTGAGCTCTGATAAGTTCACGCTTCAAATTCTTCTGCTCATCTTTTATATATTCCTCTTGCAATTCAAGGAATTCAAGGTGTCGTTGTAGCTTTTTTAATTTTGTATATAGATCTGCTTCATTAATCTCTTCTAATACATTTGCTTCCGTAAGGGGTGGGGCTGATTCCTATAAAATAATAGTTTCGATTCAAATGATTCAAATGTGTAAATTATTTAATTCTTTTGATTTATGCATTATTTATAAGGACATTTAAATCATTTAATGTTAAATCCAACCTCAATTCTGGAAATAATTTCAATATCCTCCATTATTGTATTAATTCACTTTTTAAATCTAAAAAAAAAATTTATATACATATTGTTACGCAATATGTGTAACATCACAATTCATAGATCGTCGTCCAAAAAAAGAAAATCACGTAAATTTTAATATTAAATTATTCTCCAATATAGTGATGATAAAGAACAAGTCATAATTACCATCTACAATAAAATAATAAAATAAACGATTTATGTAATTTATCATTTAACAATGCTAGTGTCAACCTTCTCATGGATGATAAAACATATGCATGACATAACTTCCGACAAAGTTTAATAAAAAGTGGATCCTCCATCGACTATTGTTAAAGGAAGGCCTGCACCAAAATAGCTTATGGAAGTAATACATTTCTTTTTTCTTTTTCTTCTGATGAACATTGATCCAAAAACTTTTCATTGATTTTTGTTCTTAATACCTAATGTTAATTTTATGCTTCTCAGAAAATAATGTTTGGAACATCTTTACAGGAAACTAAATATTTGATCATATGTTGTAGTTGCCCATTGAATATATATGATGAGATATTTTATTTTCAGAAAACTTTTTAAAATATTCCAAATGATATGTTGAAGTCTAATCATATTACAATTCAATTATTAAATAATAATGATGATAATTGTAAGAACAATAATGGCTGCAATAGTGGTAAAAATATATGAAATAAAGACAATATATTGTATCATTACCCAGTGGGTAAAAATGAGTACCTGAAAACTATGATTTTTATTTTGGGCAATAGACCAATAAAAATTTGTTGCTATTTTTAGATTTTTAATGTGCGCAAAAATTTTGTCATTGAAATATCAAATCTCAAATGGGATTTGGACTAGGAAAATCAACCTCTAAGCTGATTTTTTTATTTTGAGTTTTCTTAATATTAATCTATTTGTATTTTAAAAACATATGTGTAACCACTTTTAAAAGGATTGTTACTAAAAATAGATTTTTGCCTGAGGGTCGATTTTCCTATATAGTCCAATTCCCAAATCCAAAGGCCAGTGTATAATTAGGTTTAAAAGATTATGAAAATGAATTGGTCTTAGTACCATCCATACATGATTTAATAAGATTTTTCAAGGAAATGAATGTAATTGTAAAGCTACAAAAAGATATTCAAGAACCTGTTGTGAAAAAGTAAGATTTTTTGAAAGACATCTCCAAATATGAGCATTAGAATAAAATGAACTTGAATTATTCATAAAAGCTCAATTGATGCCTCTTTGAAACAATCAGCAAGAACTCAAAAGATAAAGACATAATTTTTAATAATCATTTGTCCTTGTGTCAGTCAGCAAGCATATTTATGTGGAATTACCAAGTATATGCTTAAAATAATTTGCAAATTAATGGATCACCAAAGAGACTTCATAAAAACGCTGGACATGTACCTAATTTAGACTTTGCGTTAATGTTTAAACATTATTTATTACAATGCGCAGATATATTTGGATTCTCATCACCAATGCATCATCTTGATGATTCTGATGCCTTCATATACACTACCTGGACAAAAGTTTGTGAGCGATATTTTTCGTTAATTACGCAAAATGCTACATAATAAAAATACATAAAATTTTAACATTAGATAATCTAGGTTCTTGTTCGTTTTCATATAAAATTTGATGTTTTTGTATTTCAAGCACTTTATTAATAAAAAAAACTTTTTTTGAAAAGATCTTCAAAATTGAAAAACCAACTAATATCGAGTGGGCCACCCATCATTAGACATACATGCCTCAATTCTTCTTGGCATGCTTTCAGTGAGCTTTTCTAAAGTTTCGTAAGGTATTTTTAACCATTCTTCTTTCACTGCAACTTTCAATTCCAATTTATTTTTAAAAAAATTTTTGCAAAAAAAAAAAATAACGAAAGAAATAAAATCTAGATGCATTAAAAGCATTGAAAATCATATGCAAAACTATAGATATAATTTAAATATTTTCATTATGTAGATTTTTGAAAAATACGAAAATACAGTAAACATTTAAAATTCAGTTTTTTATTATTATTAAAGTACTAGAAATATAAAAAAATCAAATTTTATATGAAAACGAACAAGAATCTAAGTTATCTAATGTTAAATTTATTATGTAGCATTTTGCATAATTAACGAAAAGCATCGTTAACAAACTTTTGTCCGGGTAGTGCGTCTTCCAACAGGGAAAAACATATATTTCAATATATAATGAATTTAAAATCCCATTTTTATGCTGAGCATGATGAAAATATACAATAATTCCCAACTGAACTTTTCAAAGATTATAGCATTAATTAATCCCAAATCTTAATGTAAAAATTGACATATTTCACAAAATTTCTACATAACTATTGCGGTAGACATGTCAATCGCGTGAAATGTCGTCTGACTGATAGCATCTCAAGTTAGTATTAGTATTAGGAAGAATTCTGGAGAGCAGTAATGATCCGGCAACCATGTGACCACATTGTCACTATTCCACACTTTTTATATCCGGTATTGTAAAGAATGACTCATTGCGCACGTGATTTTTTCTCTAGCTTGGGCTTTCTGATAATATTGATCTTTAGCACGTTTCATGAATGTAGCAATCTATGTAGTAAACCTCTGCCGTAAAAATTTTTTTTGTCACTATATTTAACACATAAATATCAATAAAGTTTGCCCATATCAGCTTTCCATAATAAAATAAAGTAACTTGTATTTTTACAATTTAAAAAAATTTGATTTTACTTGTATTTTGACGTAAGGAAAAGGGTTTCCTTACAGGATCAGACAAATAGGCTTATATAGTTTGTGATATTTCAAAATGCATAGGATTCCATATACTTACTGATTTAATTAAATAATCCATTTTGCAGAATTATTCATAAAAAATACTTTGTAGGTATATAGGAATCATACTATTCAAAATTCCATCTGTCACCAATAGAGGGTATATCTGTTGAATATTCAAATATTCGCCAATCATTCTAGTCACCAAAAGTTATCTGATGATCATCATACTCAAATTAAAAAATTTGAGATCAAGGAATAAATTTTTTTTTTAGATTTTTAAATTTGATAATTATGTTCAGAAACACAAAATTTTAACTTCCATTTAAATATTTATATATTAATATATATATATATATAATGTTATAACATTGCTAAAAAAATTTTTCCTTCTTCATGTGAAGAAGCCAATGCTCCTGTGGAGAGCATTCTTTGAGAGCTTCGCCCTCAAAGAATTTTTGGACACCATGCATTTTCCATATTAAATAGATTAATTTTCATCCCTCATCTTTCCTTTTTTTCTGATATAACTAGTGTATTATTGTTACATGCTTATAATATCTATCCAATTATCTAATAAATCATATGTACATATCTTTATTTACATTGTAAAAATCAAATCACAGATACCATTTGGCACTACT